CCACCTGAAGCATTCTGTAGTCTATTTTGGTTCATTGGCAGCTACAAATAACTGCTATATTGGCTTTTATTATTTTATTGTTTATAGACAAGGGATGGGTCTATTGTATCTTACTATGTTGACTCACTGGATGCTTTTTTGGCCACCCAGATATCTTTTCAGAAGAGTGTCCAGAGTTTGACTTGTAAGAAAAATCTTTGGGCTTTGCTCTTTCTACAAGAGTCTAGTAGTCTAGTCTCCCTTTCTACAAGAATCTAAACTAAAAGATTATAAAAATGGGCATAATGCTCATCTACTTAACGTTGGTTCACACTTTTGACTGCGACTGGTGAAAACTTAGACTTTTCAGAATTCCAAATTCCAAAATCTGGAATATGACCAACAACACTGCTATTAACTTTAATCTTAGAAAATTGTGTAACACCCAGGACATAACTGAGGTCAACATCCCAAGAGTGAGCTGATGGAAGATGTGATTTCACATGAGAAAAAAATGGGTATTTCTTGATTTCTACACATGATTTTCATTTACCTATTTGGAATTTAGCTTATATACTTAAAGTATGGATGTACCAGAAATCAAAAATTTAGGTGGTTATAATAATGACAATTAACTTTCAAATAATGTCATATTTTTATCCTTTGTGCCACCATGGAAACCCTCCATGAGTCCATAATTATGGTGTAACATTTCAGAATGAGTAACTGGCTCTAAAGATATTTGTGCACCCACAGACTTTATGGACATGCCCTTGTGAAACCAAAGATCAGAGATAAAAAGAACAAAGGGAATATTTGCCCGAGAAAGATGACTAGAGAATGACTGAGGCTATAAGCCTGGACAGGAGTCTTTTATTCTGGATTTAATCAAAATTCTTTTAAAAATATTTCACAGTGCCTGGGACTAGGGACTAGAGCTTCATATGGATGGGGATAAGGGAAGTAAACATTAAAGAAGTAAATACAGGAAAGCAGTTACCTAGAATACTCCTAACTTCTGGGAGCAAGAAATTTTCTGAAGTATGGCAGACTTAGGTGGCCTGTGATTTTACAGGTTCTTGCAAGTGGTAGGGCATAGATGGAAAACCTGGTTCAATGTCATCTACCAAGGGGCAGACACACCATCGGGACATTACTCTGACCACAAGACCAGATACCCCCACCCCCCGACACACACACCTACCCAGATTTAAACCCAAATAATTGAAAAGCAATGCTCCATGAGATTTTTTCAAAGATCTCCACCCAGTTCAATACAAGTACCTGCTTTCTCTTCTTCCCCCCCCCCCACACCTAGTGTTTCCCCTCCTTTCCCCCCCCACTTCTGCCTCTCTCTGCCTTCTCTTTCCTCTGGTCTCCCTAGTCTCTTGTTCTCTCCTCTTCTCATTCCAACCTTGGAACAACCGGGCTGTCCTCTCTTCTGTGTCCTATGTCCCTGCTGTGATTTTTAATGAAATATATTCAGGAAGCCTATTGACTGGCTCCATGACAAGCACATAATTTCTAGGAGCAGCTGGGCCCTCCCCAGCACAGGGCAATCCTTTCACTTTTTCTCACTATGCTCTTTTCCCACTCCCACTCCACCATAGCCTTCTCTCCCTCTCCTCCTTCACTGGAGGCCGTTAGCTGTGAATTCCTTAGACTTTGTCCTTCTATTTCTTTATCCTGTCATCTTCTTGGGGAATAGAAGGGTCTTTCCTAAGGTGTTATCTTAGAAGTGATCACATCTTTATTTTTTTTTAAAGATTTTATTTATTTATTTGATAGAGACAGCGAGAGAGGGAACACAAGCAGGGGGAGAGGGAGAAGCAGGCTTCCCGCGGAGCAGGGAGCCTGATGCGGGGCTCGATCCCAGGATTCTGGGATCATGACCCAAGCCAAAGGCAGACGCTTAACGACTGAGCCACCCAGGCGCCCCGATCACATCTTTATTATTATACTTAAGGGAATCCTCTAAGAAATTCCTCTCTCTCCTATATCAGGGTTTCGTTGTCTCTTACCTGCAAAATCTTAACATTGTCCTGCCCTCCAAATTTGGTTTATTTGTAGTATTGTTTAATCAAATCTCATGTTTCTTGGTCTCAACTTTGAAGTTGGGGGATTTTATATTTTGTGCTTATAAGTTTCTTATACTTGCAGCCTTCGATTAGAATATTTTCAATGCTATTTCCATCCTCAAAGATTGTTAGATTTTCTGTGACTCTAAGAAAGAGAATAGATACCCTAACAATGGCTATGAAAACCTTTGTAAACACAGGAATGGCAGCCTTTTGAGTCTGAGGCCCAACAGATCTGACTTCTCCATAAATGTCTGTCTTCAGATCATCTATATATTGTTGGCTATTTTTTAAAATCCTAAGTAGAGACGTAGAACACTTGGGAAGCTTCTGAAATACTCTTTGACTATATTAGTACCTTCAAGATCTGGCTCCAAATTTTCTCTTAGTAGAAGGCTTCTGGGAATCACCCTTTCTATGTTTGATCTGCAATGGCCACTGAAAGTTAATCTTCCTACCGCTGTCCTGTACTTGTGTGTATTTCATCATAGAATAGTGGTAAAGTGTATGGGGCTGTGGGGAAAGATGGCTGAAATTTAAACCTCAGTTTCTACTGTGTGACAAAGGACAAGTTACTTAACCTCTCTGCCTTTGTTTCACTACTTAAAAAACAGGGATGCAATTATCAATTAGAGAACATTTTTAAGAATTCAAACTCAAGATAATTCTTGTTAGGTGTGCATAGTGCTGACTATAAGAAAGGCTTAATGTGTTGTTGTACTTTGCATTTCCAACTAAATTATAAATCCCTTGAAGTCAGGCATTCACATTAATCAGATACAAAGCAAATTTATACAAAATTTTGAGGTAAGTCCCTTAAAGATATGGAGCATATTCTGCATATTATTTTCATACCTTTAAGGCATTTATAATTGGTATTAAAGAATAACTATGAACATGTTCTTGGATTTTAGACTATTTTTTCCTTCATTAAACCTAGTTCAGTGCATTACAAATAAAGTCAACAAACAATAATTTGAATACATATAAATTATTTCCACAAGACACAAGTTTTGATTTAAAATATAACTGAAACATTGTAAATATGTCGTTTGATATGAATTGAAAAGCAGTATTTGCAATACTCACGTAACTGGTGCACTTAGGACGGCTATCTCCTTCAAATTCCTAGTCAAGTGTCAAGTTTTCTGAAAGTACTGAATGGTATTTGGACTAACTACCTTTTTTTTTTTTTAAGATTTTATTTATTTATTTGACAGAGAGAGAGACAGTGAGCGAGGGAACACAAAAGCGGGGGGGAGTGGGAAAGGGAGAAGCAAAAGCAGGCTTCCCGCAGAGCAGGGAGCCCGCTGCTGGCCTGATTCCACTGGGATCATGACCTGAGCCTAAGGCAGAGGTTTAATGACTGAGCCACCCAGGTGCCCCTGGACTAACTACCTTTTAAAACGCAGTGAATTAACACATTTGGAACAGACTTTAAGTGAGGTCACATATTGCTTATGTTGCAAATGAAAAATGCAAAGGAGTGCCTTAAGACCTATTGAGTACCAAAGAAATTCTTAATGGTTTCCTTTGCTCCTCTCTTAATAGACTATCATCCCAGTTAGTACCATTCTAATCAAACCAGATGAAAATGTTTCACGTTAAGCCTCAGAATTATAGAATCCCATACTTTGGAGATTGGAGTGAAAAAAGATAATAAAATCCACCTCCCTCATTTAATAGAGGAGAAAACATTCCTTTCAATTAAGACTGTTTTCAAAATAATATTCATGCCCTTTTGAGTTATCTACTCTAGTTTTATTTTCATGCTGTTAAATCGACCACAACTCAAAATACCAGTGTGCTCATGATGTCATGCATTTGAGTAGGGTACTTTATGTGTTCCTCTAAAGGACCCTCTGAGTCTTGTGGGGAATCTTCCTGTGATATCAAAGCCAGTAGCTAGTGGTTTTCCTTTGGGTATTTAAGAGAACACTATCACGTAACATCTGGGACCAGAAAGAAATCTTTGTGGTATATATTTTATAGAGCTTTTCTTTTGGATTTTCTTTTTCCTCTAAGAGAAAAGCCTTTAACATAAAAAAATATTAGTCAATTGTCTAGAAGTGCTAGATTCCACTCCTGCGTGAGCCCATTTAAACATTTCCCTGAAAAGTTAATAATTCATTTATTTTCCAATTAAATATAATTTTGAAGTGCACTGCTTAAAATTTTGATACATTCAAGCCATGAAATGAGTTTTTCAATACATGTGATGTTTAAGGAAGTCCCAACCTACATTGCTAAGGTACTTACTAGAGCTAATTGTGACTAATCACTTTAACCTAAAGAAATAGGATTGGTAATAAAACCCCCAAATCATACCTTAATCACTTTGGAGTTGCAACTGGCCTTTACATCTATCTATATAAAGCTGTACTTAAGATTTAAGTTATTTCTAAAACAATATGGTGCAGCCTCTGATCTTGAAATGTACTGGACAGGAGGATTTGGAGACCTTGTGTTGCCCAGAGGTGGTAGGTATCAAGATAAATTATCCTAGGCAATGTGAAGTACTGACAAATATGCTTACAAGGCCCTTTTAGAAAATAAGTTACCAATAACCTCAGTTGACTGAAATTTGGTTAAGAAAAAATATTGAAATAAAAAGTAAAAAGCAGATTAGAAGGGCAGAAAGGCTCTCTCCCCACTTCCCTCCCCACCCTCCCCACCCTTCGAAAGCTCTTGCTCTCTTGAAGTAGCACGTTCCAGCAAGTGCTTGGAATCTGGTCTCCGTGAAGCTAGGAGCACTGCACCAGCAGGGCGTTCCCCGTTGGAGACTGCTGGCTGCTTGGAACCTGCAGACACCTGGCGTGGTTCTTAAGGGCCCTAGAGACTTCTGTCTTGGACCCGTGGGCTCTAGGGCTGTAGGCAAGGGCTGTGAGCAGTCAGAAGGGTTTCCTGTGTGTCAGCAACTTCACTTTGCCGGATAGCTGGCGGAAGAGCGAAGGAGCGCTCACGGGCCAATCGCTCCCCAGCAGCCAGGCGGACCAGGCGCCCCCTCACCCTCCACGCCTCTGGGAGCAGCGGAGGGGCAGAGGCTGAGCGCTCCCGGGCACCGTGAAGATCTGCTCCATAGAAGACTCCCCGGGCTCCAGGCGGACTCTCTGAAAAGCTCTGGCGGACAGCCGGGCTGGCTCCGCCAAGGCACGCCCCTAGCCTCCTGGGAGCCCGGACTCACCCGGGTGCCCAAACCCCGCCCATCCTCGCGGGGAGCCGCCTGCCCCCAGCACTCCCCGGAGCAGGGCCTTGAGGAGGGGCCCTGAGCTGCACTGAGGGTGAACACTACGCGATCCAGAGGCGCGCGGGTCTGCAGTAACGCGCGCTCCGATGGCCCCCAGAGGCTGAGCGAGCGCAGGGACCGAGAAGGAAGCAGCGCGGGCCCCCTGAAAAGAGCTGCTTGCTTTCAAGGTAGGGAGAAAGAAGATGCCCAAAGGAAGTTGATCTTTGGGGAAAGCAGGCTGGGGAGTGCCTTCCCCATGCCGGAACGCAGTACTGCGAGTTGGGCTCTACCTCCTCGCTGAACCCCCAGCACGGTCTCCGCTCTCCCGTGAGGACCCGCGAGCCCTCGGGAAAGCGCAGTCGGAAAGTTGTCGGTGGCCGTGTCTTGTGCGCCCGGTGGTGGTAACCTCGGCACTGACCAGCCGGACGGGGAAGTTGCTGGCCCGGCAGCCAGCCCGGCTTGGTCGCGCCCCGAGCAGGTTTCATGGCCCGCGGCGAACGCGGGGCTGGAGCCGGTGTGGGTGAGCCCGTGCGTGTCCCCTCCGGTGGGGCTCCCAGGCGCCCGCTCCCTTCCGCTCCCTCGCTTTTCCGATGCTCGGCGCGCCCTTCACCGCTGCCGCCCTCTCGCCGCTACTTGCCCCTAGGAGCCGCCGCGTAAGTCGGGGAAGGAGAGAATGACCGAGGTGCTGTGGCCGGCTGTCCCCAATGGGACGGACGCTACCTTCCTGGCCGGCCAGGGTTTGCCCTGGAGGAACAGCACCGCAGCCTCCACCGCTGCTGTCGCGGCAGCCTCGTTCGCATGCTCGCTGACCAAGACGGGCTTCCAGTTCTACTACCTGCCGGCTGTCTACATCTTGGTGTTCCTTATCGGCTTCTTGGGCAACAGCGTGGCGATCTGGATGTTCGTCTTCCACATGAAGCCGTGGAGCGGCATCTCCGTGTACATGTTCAACTTGGCCCTGGCCGACTTCTTGTACGTGCTGACTCTGCCCGCGCTCATCTTCTACTACTTCAATAAGACGGACTGGATCTTTGGGGATGCCATGTGCAAGCTGCAGAGGTTCATCTTCCATGTGAACCTCTACGGCAGCATCCTGTTCCTAACCTGCATCAGCGCGCACCGGTACAGCGGCGTGGTGTACCCGCTCAAGTCTCTGGGCCGGCTCAAGAAGAAGAACGCGGTCTATATCAGCGTGCTGGTGTGGCTCATCGTGGTGGTGGGCATCTCCCCCATCTTCTTCTACTCAGGCACCCAGGTCCGGAAAAACAAAACCGTCACCTGCTACGACACCACCTCCGACGAGTACCTGCGGAGTTATTTCATCTACAGCATGTGCACAACCGTGGCCATGTTCTGTGTCCCCTTGGTATTGATTCTGGGCTGTTACGGATTAATTGTGAGGGCTTTGATCTACAACGATTTGGACAACTCACCTCTGAGGAGGAAATCCATTTACCTGGTGATTATTGTACTGACTGTCTTCGCTGTCTCTTACATCCCTTTCCATGTGATGAAAACGATGAATTTGAGGGCCCGCCTGGATTTTCAGACCCCGGAAATGTGTGCTTTCAATGACAGGGTTTATGCCACTTATCAGGTGACAAGAGGTCTAGCAAGTCTCAACAGTTGTGTGGACCCCATTCTCTATTTCTTGGCAGGAGATACTTTCAGGAGGAGACTCTCCAGAGCCACTAGGAAAGCTTCCAGAAGAAGTGAGGCGAATTTGCAATCCAAGAGTGAAGACATGACCCTGAATATTTTATCTGAGTTCAAGCAGAATGGAGATACAAGCTTGTGAGGATGCAAGAATCACCGAACACCCGCTTTTGTAACATGGTAGGATGCTTAATAGAGCCAAGTGCTTTTTTCCCCCTTTAAGTTTCTAGTAAGCTTCTAGTAAACTTAGAGAAAACTAAGTCCAAGAAAATAGTTTAAAAAAAAAAATTAAAACACCCACCCCTACATTTGGCTTGTTTAGGTTCACTTTCAAGGCCTCCCTTTCTAAACAGAAGTATGTAAAATAAAATTATACTATCCTAGTTAAACATTTACTTTCTTATCTGCCTTTAAAATTTACAAACTTTTCTGTTTAAAGTGCACTTGAGTACTAGAGCTATTTTGATATTAATAATTTCTCCAAGGAAACTGAGTTTTCAGTGATCTATGGTAGGAACAGGCTCCACATTCTCAAAGTATAGCAAAAATACTAAACTCCATTCAATATCAGGTGAAGAGATCTCAGCTGGGTGTCTCTTTTGGTCCTAGAAGCATAGGTGGTAGCAGGCTGTTTCTTTGGAGAATTGAATAGAAAATTAAGTCAATGAATTTAAAAACCTAGAAAATGATTATTACCCAGTCACTTCTAGAAAACTTAGGTGCTAGGTATGTGGTGGTGGAAGTCTGCATATATTATCTTACAGGCAAATTGCATTTGGAAAAATCAAAGTTCATGTACTTTCCTTGTAAACACTGTGAACTCTTAGACTTCCTGTGATAAAGAACATTTACTTGCACCACGGCTGTGCACTGCCTTAGGAGTCTTTGTTGCAGTACAAATGCTCACTGAAAGCTGCAAAGACAATGTAAAAAATCAGATCTATTACAGACCAGGGTCGAAGAATGTTGGCCAAGAGGATGATATTATCAGAGGGAGAATGTTTAATAGTCCTTCATGATGCATAGGCTGCAAACATATTTTCAAATGTATGAGGCAACAAGGAGTGGGGAAAAGATGGGGCTTTTTTGTTTTTGTGTTTAGAAAAAGTTTTAGAATAAGGACTTTAAAATGCTATAAAGGCCCTCTTTTGCCTCTTCAAAATGTTGGAAAACATTAAATGCAATATGAAAAAAACAGACTTTGTACAGGTTGTGTTGATAGAATGAAAAGCTATAATCCTATAATGGATCTTATATCCTCACATTTAAAAGAAAAAAAGCTGCAAATATATGGGAACGGGAAATACAGAGAATTAAATTTATGTGGTACATAAGGTACCACAGCACTAAAAAGTTGGGGACATTACAAATCCGACTACTAATAAAGAGAAGACTACTGGTCAGTTCCCCCCCCCCCCCCCGCCAGGCAGTAATGAAAACTTCACTAAATATTTCAGTAACTTTAATAAGAGTTTTAAATGAATATTGAATTTCAATGAATAATATCGACTATTGCATTTCTGCCTCAAAACTAGCCTCAAAAAAGCCAGCATTAGAGTTTGCAACTGGTGGTGGAATAACTTGTTGGAAAGCACTTTGTAAGTAAAGCAATTTGGAGTCTGTCTTAAGGCAAGAACACCCCTGGGACACAGCGACAGGACAGTCAGGACTTAATCAGCTCCTGTGGTATCTGGGTGGCCTGTGGATTTGTGAGACCTTCAGTTTCTTCTTAGACTTGCTTCAGTTTATGCAGTCTTTGGCCCCTAAAATCAATGAAGAAAAGCAGTGTTAAGCCTTACTAAAAGTGATTTTTTTTTTATATGTTAGGGTTAATGCACAGAATTATAGGAGCCAAATCAGAAAGAAACCATAACTGGTTGTCTTACCTACACCACCTTGTTTTGAGGAAAGAGATTAGTTAAGGTTCTCAGTTAGGGTCCTCTATAGCATTCATTGTCTGTGTGGAATCCTAAAAGGAAAAGTATAAAATATGTCCTTACTGTACGATCCTTGTCAAACCTCATGCTCAGTGACGCAAGATTAATATCACTACATTAACCAAAATGGAAATTCAAAGCCTGTACCATCCTTGAACTCATAAGCTAATGGTATACATTTCTATAATATTTCCTCACCATTCACTTTAGTTTTCTTCCTTTTAGGTCTCAGGATGCCAGCCTGGTTTACCATACATGTTACATACATTGTGTTTCAGCTCCCAGAGAACTTTCTTTTGGACTGTGGACCAGTGAAGTGGACAGTGCCTAGAAATGCCCTTTTACTTCTTGGCATGTTTCTTCCCAGTGTTTCTTCTTCATACGTCATGTAGTGGACAATGACAATGTGTGAATACATGCCAAATAGTAACAAGAATGATCTTGCCCAACTCCTTCTAGGCACAAAGAGGTCTCCAGGAAGAGTCTGTGCTAATGGTAAAAACACAGAGGGTCAAGATGAAGCAGTGATCTACTGGCTGGAAATCTGATGACATGTGATGATGTAAGTAGGTATTTTAATAGTAAAAGCAGAAATCTGTTGGCATTTTGATGAAAAAACTGCTAAAATTATAGAACTTATCAGTTAACTAAATTTCACACTACAAAACGATTCTTATGCCAAGTTTAAGGTATTTTTGGCTCACCAATTGGTGTCTTTGACTCTTTAAACTCACTATGCATTTGCATGGAAATGATATAAACACAAACCAAGAAGCCATACAGCAGAGAGTAGGATTCAGCATTAAAAACACGACCTTGCCACTTGGCCAACTGTGGAACTCTGGACTCTTTCAACACCACTCTCCATGGATTAAAAAGGTTAGATGACCTCAGGGGATGTGGTAGAACATTAAAACTACAGCCAGCCAGAGGTGCATGAAATCTGCTACTGTACTTTCCAGGACTCTTCCATTGCAGTCCTGGGCTAGAAATTCTCACAGAGTTCACCAATTATGATTTGGATCTATGACCTGTAAGTTTTCTCAATCTACTTGGACAGTACAGTAAACTGCTTTTGGATACAAGAGAGGTCTGTGCTTATAACAGCTGGAATTGGACTAGGGAAAATGAAGATATGTACGTAGTTAGGGATCTCCTGAAGCTTTAACTTAGCTGGTCAATTTACAACTAACAATCATATTTATTGATGAAGCTCACAGTTCTTCAGTTGTACAGATTAAAAGGCTTTCTTGAAAGATCAAATATGCTGATGTAAATTATATTTATTACAATGTATGTCACACTAGTGTATTTTATGTAATGTGATGCATAGATAAAATGAGTTATTGTATATTTTGCTTTTCAAATACCAGTATCTTGAAATGTTTGAAGATTTTTTTGATCTAAAATATGAATGTTTTGTGATACAGGTGGTTAATTTTCTCTAGAAGTGCTTTTGCATGTTTACCTTTTTACTTAGGGTTCTCTATACAGACACACTGTGGTATCAAACTATCATAAGCTCAATAGTAAATACAAAATATCTTTGCCAGGCTAGGTCTGTGTTGTCTATATTTTATATGACATAGAAAAGTTTATATTGTCTTTTCAAGACCTTTAGAATTGTGCCCCCAAATATGGTTGAAACTTCCAATTCCATTGCAAAAGGTTGTCCTAAATTCAAGGTAGATCCCTTACATTTTAGAAGTCAGAAGGGATGGGCATTATAGATAGATTTAGAATTTGAGGAAAAACTAGGGGGGATGGGGGAGAGAGAAAAGAGGCAGCTGAGGGCGCCTGGGTGGCTCAGTTGGTTAAGCGACTGCCTTCGGCTCAGGTCATGATCCTGGAGTCCCAGGATCGAGTCCCGCATCGGACTCCCTGCTCGGCAGGGAGTCTGCTTCTCCCTCTGACCCTCCTCCCTCTCATGCTCTCTGTATCTCATTCTGTCTGTCTCAAATAAATAAAATCTTAAAAAAAAAAAAAAGAGGCAGCTGATACAATCCCTTACTGTCCTCAGTTCTGCTTACATTTTTGTGTTGTAGTTCTTCTTAAGGTGAAAGAATATAATCTTGAGTTCTTTGAGATGTAGTTTCTAAGTAACATGCTACCAGCAAGTTCAACACTGCTATTTTAATGTTCTTGTTGTTCAGTTGGTAACTTTAAAGTTTTATAGTGATAACTGTAAATGATTTGGCTGCTGAACTCTGTTACAATTTTTATTATGTCATACATTGTATTATACACATCATTACAAATTAATATGAAGGGGAATATGTTACATATCAAAATTTGTGACTTTGAATTCTAGTATGTTTAGTGTTTTTGCAAAAATGTTTATTTTTATATTGTGATTTTAATATAGTTGAACTAGATTTCTTTGTGATTAACAGTTTCATTGAATGAACACTATGGAAACAGTGTTACTTGACATTTTGAGCCTTCTCAGGTTTATCTAAATCATTGGTAGCTTAAATTCCAGACTTATTGTACGTAATTGTTTTTAATAAAAGGAATGTGTATTTCCTCTAAGTTTGCATGCAGGAGTGTACAATATCATGTGTTTGTATGTGTGTGTGTGTCTAAGGCATGTGGCCAACTTACTATCTGCTATTTATAATAGGAGAGCTTTGATATGATCATGATCATCAGAATTGTACCTACTATAGACAAATGAAAAAGTCTCAATAAAACTATGAAATGTGATCTGATGGCTTCTATGTTATTATAGTGTTAATACTCAGAAGTTTTGCCAAATTTTGACACATACTGTTCTGGGTGGCATAGTATGTATTTCTTAAGGTGTGGCCTAGACTGTAAAAAGGGAAGTGCTAAAGAATTCTGGTGCAAGAGAATGTATAATATTATCACTATTGGAGGAGAAAAATACAGAATCATTATGTAATCTTTTCTCTAATTTTTATCTATGGAGGTAATCATACTAACAATAATCCTTTGTGGTTTCTGTTTATCCATTAGCCTGCATTGCCTGCTTCTTTCAAGTTTATTAAAAAGTAAATATCTGGTCCTGTGTAGTGAAAAAGTATATAATGGAATGGAAGCATATTTACAGCATTACCTTTTTTTTTTTTTCCTTAGTGGAGAAGGTAGGTGCATAATGGTCCTGTGTTGGGTTTTCTGGTTGTCCGCTGAGACACGTGCCCCATCACAGAATCCTGGGGGTAGAAAAGTGTAAATCACTTGCAGCCCTTATGATGTGTGTCACTCAGTTTTAATTCCTTAGCTATACTATCCAAACTTCCTTCATAGGAATCTTCCTTTATTAACATCAGCATGGTAGAGTTTTGTGGGTGTGTATATATGTATGTTTATTTAGTGCATACACAGAAATACAGATAGTCATTTTTCTGATTTAAGAATTTACCATAAAGCTTGGAGAATGTTTTGATTTTCAAAAGCACTTTGGGATTAGAGTCAGAGAACATTTTCTCTCTGCAAGTAAATAAATTCTCTTATTTTAATGAACTGGAAAGCTTATACTCTTTTCAGAATGTTTATAATTTTGCCCCCAGATACGGCCAGAGTTTCCAGTTCCACATGTAAAAAGCTTGCCCTGAATTCAAAGTAGATCTGTTACGGTTTAGAAGTCTGATGGGATGGGGCCATTCAAAACACAACAGATGTCGCCAGAAATCCATGTTCATACTGTGCTTACTTGTTTTAACCCTGTCAGGTTATACTGCTTTGGGGTGGACCCTGGGGACGGACATCTCCAACCAGCATTGTTGCTGGGACCGATCTGTGGATGGAGTCAGGCCCCTGGGCTGAGCAGCTGACAGTACTGCTGCCCCTTAAAAACAGACCCAGATAAGGAGGGAAGGCGATAGGAGGTATGTGGGGGCAGGCAGTCCTGCACCTGGGGGAGCAATGCACTGCTTCTCCTGATTACCTGACGAGGAAAAACAACCAGCGTCAAGGTGGGAAATCCTTGAAGATAGACTGAAACACAGGCCAGGGAAATAATCGATTTGTTTTTTGTTTTTTTTTTTAAGATTTTATTTATTTATTTGACAGAGAGATAGAGAACAAGTAGGCAGAGAGGCAGGCAGAGGGAGAGGGAGTAGCAGGCTCCCCGCCGAGCAGGGAGCCCGCTGCAGGGCTCGATCCCAGGACCCTGGGATCATGACCTGAGCCGAAGGCAGTCGCTCAACCAACTGAGCCACCCAGGCGCCCCGGAAATAATCGATTTAATCTTATCACCTTGGTTTGCTGGTGAGAGCAAAGTTTTCTATTCAAAAGTGGAGCTAGCAAAGAACTCAGGTTTCTCACTCCTACTAAAACATTCCTTCCACATTGCAGGACTCTTCAAACTGTAGATCTTGACCCTTTAGTGGGTTATGAGCACAAAACAAAATAGATCAGACTCCTTAACTCAGTAAGGCTTTGTGATTTTCATTTCAGAAATACACGCACATGCACATGCTTATACTCATGCACATAACACATTACTTACATGTCTACTGTGACCCAGGACACAAGTACATTTTATTTCCTTGGAATCATTTGATGTCTCTGAGGACCTGGCCAAAAAAGATAAAATATACTACTCAGTACAAAGTGGTGTGGGGTTACAGGAATAAGGGATGAGAGATGTTTTTCAAAACAACTTTTAAATAAACAAAGAGGTACTCATTTTCAATTTTGTTATATGCATCTTTTTAAATGTTTTTTAAGATTACATTTGTGTAAGACTGATGAATCACAGGGCTGTACCTCTGAAACAAATAATTCATTATATGTTAAAAAAAAAGCTAGTAGGAAGGGAAAAATGAAGGGGGGGAATCGGAGGGGAGACGAACTATGAGAGACTATGGACTCTGAGAAACAAACTGAGGGTTCTAGAGGGGAGAGGGGTTGGGGGATGGGTTGGCCTGGTGATGGGTATTAAGGAGGGCACGTATTGAATGGAGCACTGGGTGTTATACGCAGACAATGAATCATGGAACACTACATCAAAAACTAATGATGTAATGTATGGTGATTAACATAATAAAATAAAATTTAAAAAAACTACATTTGGAATTCCCAAAGAAACGGTATTTAGCATACATCTAAGGATAGCTATTTGCAGTTAAAGAGACTATAATTGAAACTTATATTTATGTAAATTCTGAAGCTTAGCTCTTCATACTATTCCTGCTGCTGTGAATAGTTAATAGTAAAACAGCACATGTCCACTGTGTTTAAGAGAATCAGCTTTGCAGTCAAAATACCTTAGGTTTGAACCAACTTTTACCACTTATTAGTTGTGTACCCTGGGCAGTTGCTTGCACCCTCAACTATAAACTGAGCATAATTGCAGCTCAGAGATGTTGGGGTAATTAGGTGAAATAGAAAATGCAAAGCACTTCCCATAAAATATATACTCAATAAATGGCAGGCTTTTTGAGGCTGTTAAGGACTTTGCCATTCCATGTGCTGTTTTGTTACTATTTGTTTCTATTATTATTAATCTTCTTTCATGCCATGAAGGCTTTGTGGATCTCCGACAAATTCTTGTTTTGAAACTGAATGCATACGATATTTTCTTTTGGACGCTCCATTGAATAGCTCAGTCAGATAATAAGCAAGTATTCAACCTTTTGATGCTTTGCACTGTGATACACACTGTGTGGGACAAAGAGATGTAAATCAAAATGTGTGCAGCTAAAAATATTTCAAGAAGAGTGTGCTGACCTCCTTAGCTGAGCCTCACCTCTCAGGTTCACAGTCTATTTTCAGTTGCCACAATCCAAAGTCTGGTCTTCAGTTCTGCAGATACAGAAACTTGATCTCAACAGTTCAGCTAGAGTTCACCAACTCTGGGACACTGACTCACACCAAGCAAACTGTGATAAGAGAATCATTTACCAACTAGATGCCAGTTTATGAATATACAGGGGCTGTATCCCAGTCACAAGAACAGACATCTGCCTTTTTCTTCAATCTAATTATAAATCAGAAAGTTGCCTACAGAGCTTAGCATAAGAACACAGAGAGGTAATATTCTTTAACGGCATTTCCAGTAAGATAGACGAGCTGAAAGTATTGCCTATCCCTGAAGATACTGGGTGCAATGATCAGCATCCATCCTGTATCTGCAAAAATTCTGCCTCCTTGAAATACCTTAGCGCATAGACTGAAAATTTCACATTTGCTATTTTCTTTTAAAATCAGTCGCCATCATTATTACTTCTTTTCTTGCAAAATGTGTTTTAGTAATGTCTCCCTGTGGTGGTGGTAGTATTTAAGACTGCAGTGCTTGCTAAGTTGGAGATACTCAAAAGACACCCAGTTGGAAGGGTAGAGTATGTCATTACAAATGCTATTCCAGAGTTCAGGACAAAGTTGTAGCAAGAGATCGAAGTTTGGGAATTGTCCGTTTACAAATGTCAGCTAGGGTAAGGGGTAAACCATGGGCAATACCAACACTGGGATAGACAGAGAATACCGAGCAGGAAGAATTGGAGTCGTAGATGATCCAGGACAGCCTCCTGAAGAAATCCATCTCAGAAGAGAGTTTCAGTGAAGAGGTAAGTCTGTGTCACTTGTTACAGAAAGAACCATCAAGAGTCTGTTACATTTAGAGATTAGAAATGACTGGTATTTGAGAGAATTTTAAATTCATAAAAATAGTAATTATTACTGATTACTAAATTGTTTTGGTGAAGAGATTGAGGAAAATAAGTAGTTTGAGGAGAAGACAAATTAGAGACAGAAAAAGTTATAAAGAGATGCATGATAATTCCAAAGGAAACAAGGTCCATGGAGAAATTGGGGTAGATGGATGACCTCAAAAGGACAAAGGGGGGCATCTAGGGAAGGAGTGGCTGTGGGTTTTGAAGTTGAATGTCAGTAAAGGCCATCATAGTAGAGGAGAGACTTCACTGTGAGGGTAGGGCATTGGATGGGTCACTGACAGGAAGATTATAGGACAAAAAGAATACAGGGACAGATATGAAGGTTAGTGGATGACAGCAAAGAGGAAGAGGGCAACTAGCAAGACCTAGTTACTAAGACTCTCAAAAAGAGTTGACTAGGCAGTCGAAGGATAATATCAAAAGCAGTGGGGAGCTAGGAGAATACCTATCCCTTCTCTGGTAAGGGTAATAATATAAAAGTGGCCTCTATGGGGAGAAGAATGAGGGAAATATTTTACTGGGTAGTTGTTAGCAGCTTTTGGTAAGAGAAGATTGAGTGTGCAGAAGCTTCCTTTAGAAGGAATTGTGTCTCCAGAACACACAGCAAAAAAGGGGTGAGATGTACAGTCAACAGAGGGTGGAAGTGGGAGGAGGGGGGAATGAAATGGAGAATAACTTTGTGACAAACTTGTACCAAGGAGGTCATACTAGATCATGAGGATAAAGGAGACAAGTTGTAGAAAGATGTCAGAGTGGAAATAACCAATATTTCATTAGGAACTTTGGCAATATGTTTTTCCACATTCTAGACAGATTGTTCAGATTGATGGAACCGGGAAAAAGGAAATAGATTAGCTTTAAGTAGTGATCGAGAGCTTGTGCAGTGTTTTAAAACACGGCTGCAAATTCATTGCCATTTTCTCTAAGAATGGGGATCTATGGTTCTTCTCCTTGATCTGAGAGGGTTTGTGATTGTTTTGACCAACAGAATATGGCAGAAGTGGTACACTATGACTTCTAAGTTATAAAAAGCTACGTAGTTTCCATCTTGTTTGGAATATTCGCTCTTGGAGTTCAAAGGTACTATGCAAGAAGCTAACTACCTTGAGGCCACAAGGCCCTGAAAAGAGGTGTTAGTGGTGTGTGTGAAACAGGGAGAGTGGCAGGTGGTGGAGAGAGTGCACACATGCAAGCCAAAGTGCCTCTATCCATTCAAATCCTACCAGCCCACACACCAGACAAGTACATGGAGAGGACTTTGATCCCAATACCCAATCATTTCAGTCACTCCCAGCTGCTTGATTGAGTCTTCTCAGCTGAGGCCTCAGACATCATAGAGCAAAGACAAACCATCTTTGCTGACATTTGTGTGAGAATCTATACGGAAAATAAAATCACGGTTATTTATGTGTTCTGGGGCAGTTTGTTACACAGCCATAGGTAATGGTCTAAGACAGACTATAATGCATGTTGCTGAGGTGGTGTCATCTCTCATAGTTACTGCTTTCTTTTGTTCTCAGGTGTGTGTGGCCAGGGTAGGGGTGGAGGTTGGGGTGGGATTGATTTAGGAATATATGGTATATTCTCAACCAGGGATAGTATTCAATTGTATGCACAGGAACAGAGTAATGGATGATTGGTTAAAGTTAGTACCTACTCATGGAAAAATATTTCTCTTATTCTATCCCTTGCCTCCAAAAACAGTGACATGAATATAGAAAGCACTTAAATTGGCACAAAAATTGGTGGTGGTGGTGGTGGTGGTGGCAGTAACATAAGGAGGCAGAAGCATGAAATAATTTGTAGGAAGAAATTACCAGATGTGGTGTGTGAGTACGATGGAGAAGAGAAAAGGAAAAGTCAATGATGACTGAGTTTCCATCTGAAGAATCAGGAATAATGGCATGAATTCTGATGGAAATGAAGGATTGGAGAGGAAAGCAGAGGGGTACAAAACATGAAAATAGTGTGTAAAACTTGAAGACCCCTCTGCAAGAAGTATTCACTTAATTTTTGAGCCTCTCTTCCACTAACCTGGCATAAATTTAATTTCATGTTGTTCAGTTCTCCTGCCCTTGTCCTTGAACTTCTGACTTAAATCTATAAAGGAGATGTGTTGTTGAAAGGGCATCTGGTCTACACTGTCACTTCTTAACACTAGCAACTTGTGAGATGGCCTGTGTTATGTGCACACTGCCATTCACAAGAGCCCGTCACTTCTAGTTCGGTGAGCAGGCACCATGCATTTTTTAGGATAAGAGCATCTTACTGTTGGGATCTGGGGCAGGCACAGGGCTTCCTGTTGAGCTCTCCCAGTCCATTTCTTTAGTTGCACTACAAAACTATTTCTATTCAGGGGTTTTATGCCTTCAGAAAAATGTAAAAGGAAAATCTCAAAACACTAAAAAAAAGGTAGTAAGGATACAAAAGTATGGATGAAGAATAAATTTTTCTTTTGAGTTTTCTAAATTAAGTTTGGGGCTTGAAGCAAAAATTATCATTTGATTTGGTTCTAAATGTATATAGGGAAAATATTTAAGACGATTATGTTTTAAATGGGGTAATAAGACATAAAGGGAGGTAAGGTTCCTACACTTGAACTGGCAAAATGATGACAGCCGTAAATGGGGAAAGTTATGTTCATATAAGGTAATCGCTACAGCTACAACTAAAAGTATACAAAGTGATATACTAAAAAAAATGTAGATGAAACAAATTCTAAAGAATATTCAAGTAACCCACAGAAATGAAAAAAATATGATAGAATTAAATCCTAAAATATCAATAATTATATTAAATGTAAATGGGTCTAAATACACTAAGCAAAACACACAGATTGACAGACTGGATTAAAAAACAGGGGGATGGATTAGCCTGGTGATGGGTACTAAAGAGGGCATGTATTGAATGGAGCACTGGGTGTCATACGCAAACAATGAATCATGGAACACTACATCAAAAACTAATGTAATGTATGGTGATTAACAGAACATAATAAAATAAAAAAAACACAACCTAGGTGCGCTTGGGTGGCTCAGGTGGTTAAGTGGCTGCCTTCGGCTCAGGTCGTGATCCCAGGACCCCGTGTCGGGCTCCCTGCGCAGCAGAGACTCTGCTTCTCCCTCTCCCTTCCACTCTGCCTACTTGTGCTCTTTCTCTATCAAATAAAAAAAATCTTAAAAAAAAAAAAACACACCCTAACTTTAATCTGCCTATAGGAAACCCACTTCAAATATAACAACATAGGCAAATGAAAGTAAAAGAATGAAGAAAGACATATAAACACAGGAGTAGCCATATTAATAATAGATTAGAAGAAAGAGCAAAGAAAATTGACATCAAGGGATGTTGTACAATGATAAAAGGGTAAATCCACCAAGGTATGCACCAAAAACAACACTGAAAAATAAGAGATAAATCTAAAAATATAATTGGAGACATCAACATCCCTCTTCCAACAATTAATAAAACTATTAGATGGAATATCAGCAAGGGCATAGAACCCAACAACATGACCAACCAACAGGCTCCAATTGACATTTATAAAACCAATAATAGCAGAATAATAGCAAAACACATACTCTTTTCAAGTGTGCATATCCTGGGTCATACTAGAAACCTCAAAAAATTTAAATTGATATTGTACAGAATGTGTTCTCTGACCTCAGTGAAGTCAAACTAGAAATCAATTAGAGAAAGGAAAATAGGAAAATACCTAAGCACTTAGAAATGAATGACATAAGTAATCTATGGGTCAGAGAGGAAATCTCAAGGGAAATTAAAAAAATAGATTGAACTAAATTAAAATAAAAATGCAACACATCAAAATTTGTGGGGAACACAACTAAAAAGTATCTATTAAAAAATTACAGCTAACATACTTAATGCTGAAAGACCAAATGTTTTCTCCCCTAAGATGGGGAACAAGGCAAACTCAGTGTGAAAGCAGTGCTGAGAGGGGAATTTATAACATTAAATTCTTAATTAGAAAATGGAAGGGCGCCTGGGTGGCTCAGTTGGTTCAGGGACTGCCTTTGACTCAGGTCATGATCCTGGAGTCCCTGGATCGAGTCCCGCATCGGGCTCCCTGCTCAGCAGGGAGTCTGCTTCTCCCTCTGACCCTCCCCCATC